AACCAACGTTTCAGAGGTCATACTGCCTCCGTCATCAGGGCGATGAATATTCATCGCCCTGATGACGGAGGCAGTATGACCTCTGAAACGTTGGTTAACATCGACCAGACTACACAGCGCAATAACCCAAAAGACAGAAATCTTCAAAAAAATAATTGTTTCCCAATTGGATATGTTCTTGCATGGTAGTTAATTTTAAGATATGTATTTTCATGAAAATGGTTTTCAGTATAAGAATGTAGAAACACATACTATGACTATGTAACTAACAAACTAAACACATGCCTGCTATAGAGAATAGGTTTGTTGAAAACTTTCATCGCTCTAGGTAATCTGCTAGTTGCTTACAAGATTTAATACTGACAACAGTACAGATTTCATTCCTCCAATAACTATGTGAGGAAGAGTTGTGTATTCACTGGAATAAGGATAATCTTTTATATCAAGTACTTCTACATTATGAGCCAACATAACATTGGGTCTTGTAAATCCGTATACATGTCTAATACAACTTCCATTCATCATGTATTATATCATCCGCAAGCTGTCCTAATCAATTCTCTTTTCAATCTGTAAAAAAAAAAAAAATGTATGTTCCAAACTGTTGACCCCTTATCTAAAATCTTCTCATCTGAATCCTGTTCCAGATATAGTTATCATACTATATTATCTTCACTCAAACAAGCACGTTTTAAGGGACATGCTGTTTATTTATTCATAATAAATGTTGGTATGTAAATGACAAGAAACTAATGCAAATACACAGCAGGCTTGATACCATAACAGCAAAAAACACGAATGATAAAGGTACAGTGAAATGAACCAAAAAATCAGAGTAGGCACATATTAGCATGCCAGAAAATGACATAAACCCTTGCCTAAGCAAAACCCAAAATTGTTCTAGAAAATCATGAACAAAAGTATTTAGCTACATAGAATTTCCAAATGAAGCACAAATATGTGTATTTGAAACTGCACTGTGAAATAGTGTTATAATCAACCTACAAATACGTAAAAATTTATATCGAGATGCTTTTCGACTGTTTATAAATGTGAAATCAGTAGTTTAATTGTGACATTTTAAGTCAGTATATCGAAATACTTTAAAACCTTGTGCTCAATGTTTATTTTAAAATTACATAGTGTAGCTGAGAATAAGAAGTTCATTCCCACTTACATATATATTAGGTGTTAGTTGTTGATGGAATCTGTGTGAAGGAGTTTTACTAGAATTGTCCATTTGTCATCACTTGAGTGACCACATTTGTTTGTATATTTATAATATTTCTGTGTAATACTTATAATTTTTCTTTTCAGTATCAAGACGAAGGGGACGGGTACTTCATCCCAATAATGCAGTGGAAAATAGTGACCTTTGCCACAGTGCTTCTGCAGATCCTAGTAGTAATCACCAACGCTTCTGGATCTCCATTATTAGATAAAACAGTATCATCTTACAACAGAGCCAGTGTAACTGATTATCGTCTTCCCACTAATGTAAAACCAGTTCATTACAAAATTACACTGAATCCTCTTATTGAAGATCTAGATCCTAGAACCTTTACTGGAGAGGTACAGATCAGAGTGAAAATAATTGAAGAAACCGATAGCATTACTCTTCATTATAATGACTTGTCTATTAACACTATAAGTGTTAACAGAATCAACACTGAAACAGACATTGCTGTGTATCATGAATATGATAACATCACTCATTTCTGTACCATAAGAATTAATAAGGTTGAAAATGAAGATGTGGAAGAAACATTCAAAACAAATGAGGAGTACATCATTACAATAAATTATTTAGGATACCACCGAGTTGACATGTATGGATTCTACAGGAGTTCGTATAAAGATGAAAATGGTGACACAGTGTAAGTATATTGACCAACCTAACCTAAATGCAGGGCGTCATACGAGGCGCGTCCTCAAAGTAAGTTTCCCTGGGGCCGTTTACAGAAACAAAACACAATTTCATGGAAATATTTATTGCAACAGATACAGCAAGTGTCCAGCTATTTTTCAACATATTCGCCACCGGAATTGAGACATTGGTCATACCGTGGGACCAACTTTTGAATACCTGGGTCGTAGAAGTCTGCCGCCTGGGATTGGAACCACTGTGTGACAACCATCTCCGCCTCTCTGTCATTCTCAAAACGCTGACGCTGACGCTGACCGGACAGGAATTTCTTGAGGTGTAGGAAAAGATGGAAATCACTGGGAGCGAGGTCCGGGCTGTAGGGTGGATGATTAAACACCTCCCAGCTGAACTTCTGCAGGAGACTTGCTGTCCGTCGAGTCGTGTGCGGCCTAGCGTTATCACTGACCGCACTTCACAGTCGGCGGGGGCTGGAATAAGAACCTCCATCTTCAACAGCTGCAACGATGCTACTGTGAGAACGCGGGAAGTGCCGTTAGTGCATGCGCCATGCTACGTCATTGCTCTATCACGTACGCACAGTCGCTTCGCGCAATATAAGGTTTGCTAGCTGTGGGACGAGTGGGAAACTTACTTTGAGGACGCGCCTCGTAATTAGAAGATGGTGAAATGTATGAAGTTCATAAATTAATGAATCAATTTTTATGTGGCCATGCATGTATAATATTATACTTGTGTGTTGGAGCTCATTAAAATTGAACTTAATAGTGTGTGCTACTTCAAACAAAAATGAAATTGTTATACATACCATTGACATGACCACAGAACAATGCTTTCAATTGTCATAATGCTTCTCAAGAACACAAATAACACATACTATTTTGTTCCTGTAGGTGGCTAGCAACAACGCAGTTTGAGCCAGGGAATGCTCGACGAGCCTTTCCTTGTTTCGATGAACCAGCTTTCAAAGCCACATTTGAAATTAGCATACTAAGAAAACGTAATCTCCAGGCAATATCAAACATGCCAAGAAAAAATGAGTAAGTATTTAATGTGATAAAATATTAACCAATGAAAGTACCTGTTGTGCTAAGTATAGGTACTAGGTAATTTATTAAAAATTAAGTACTTGTTACCAACAAATTACTTACACATATTTTCCAGTCTGGGGCTGGTGTGTGTGTGCAATGAGACCAGAGTAGAAGTTATCTAGTGCTCCAGGCAGATATTTTTGTGTTTTTGTTCTGTGCAAAACAGAAAATGAAAAACCGTATTCCTCTGGATCTCTGGTAATTATGGGATTCATGGCAATTAGGATTCAAGTACTTTGACTAGGTATGACTTAAGGTGGCGACTGACTTGTAACATTTGCCTGTAATGTAACGTGTTACAAATCGAGCATTACACAAGTGAAGACAGCGAACGGAGCCGCTCGATGCGAGCTGCTCACGCTCGCGGGCGCTCCATCGTGTTGTCGGTTTTTTCGCGAATCCCTTTGAGTGTTACATTACAAGTCAGTCAGTCAGTCAAGCGGCGTCGTAACGAGCATTCACGAGTTCTTTAGATAAGAGTAGCGTATTAAATGAAACAAAGATAACACAACCTCCACGTCCGACATATTGAATGAAATGAATGGAGCACACATGAGCACAGTCGAGCCGAGCGTTCAAAACGAGCATTCGATACGCCTCACCAGTTGTGGTGTAATGTAACATGCTCGCCGCGAATGTTACATTACAAGTAAATGTTACAAGTCAGTCGCCACCTTAAGATGCTGTCAAGATGGCAAAGAAACTTGGCAGATGGAACAATCAACATAGCACTGTTATTCAGAATTATGAGAGGGTGAGAATATAAACCCAGTAAGAGTCCAAAATGTTTGCGTTCAATCTTGGCTGTGGGGAAGGAATATCCATTCCAAAGAGCCCAGTGCCACATGGTTTATATTAACTTATAGTCAGTGCTCTGGGAACTGTGTAAAATGGTGACTGTGTTCTGGCTCTGAACCTACATTTGCATACAGGGGTAGCAAGAAGCATCCACTCAACCCTTATTTCTCAGTTCTCTGCCAAGACACATAAGTTGGAAGTCACGCCAAAATCATGGGACTATACCACAAAGGCGG